GGGTCCACCAATTTAAGTGAAAATCAACGGTAAGATTAGATAGTGCCATGTGGCGACTTAGGAGTGTTTGTAGGAGTGCCACGTGGCGGCTTTAGAGCGTTTGTAGAAAGTTTAATGGACTTTTAGTATATAACTAGGAAGGTAGCCCGCGCATTCGCGCCGGCATATATCGTAGGTTGCATTTGAGATACTCGTAAGTAATAGGCCGATTGTGTTAAAATGTCGTATTTGTTATATAGTAAACTATAGGCATATGAATCTTATATCATTGGTTTGATTATAAACAGAGCAATAGTTAGATTAGAAATTAGACGTGAAACTTATAATTATAGATTATTTATATTTTAGTTAAATAGGAACGTAAGAGGAATGAAAAGTGTAGAGCTTGAGCCAGAGAGGGGAAGGAGCGGGTGTGTAGTGATGGGCGCGTGTGGAGGGGATTTTTTTTGTAATTTTTCTAAGTGATTAAGTGAAAGCCAATTATTAGATGTAATTTTCCTAAGATTTGCAAGTTTTTTTTTTAAAAGATGTGACATGCCACTTATTAAGATATATTTTTCTAAAAGTAGATTATATAGTTGAAAATAATGTTAATAGGTTATCGATCTAGGTGAAAACCGTTAGCTAGATGTTTTATTTTTTTCTTTTAATATATAAGATTTTACTAATTTTTTAAATGTGACACTTGGTAATTTAACATGTCTCTAAAAGGTCATACATGGTGACTTTGTATTTTTCTAATTTTTATTATGTAGAATGATTAAGATGACATAATATATATTGTCAATTTTTTAATGTTTCAGTGTTGTTTGCTTGTTGGTCTATGTTCAAATTACGTATTTTAAATTTTTCATAGTAAAATATGAGTAACATAAATCAACAATTCAAATAAATTAAAAATAGGATGTTATTTGGGTTGTCAGGTAAAGAATAGGTGGAAATTCAAATAACATATTTTATTTTTTATAGTGAAATATTGGTAATATTGATTTTAAATTATTTAGCTGTCTAATTATGAAACAACCGTTCAAACAAACTAACCTCCGTTTCATATTATAAGTCATTTTGACTTTTTTCAGTGAATTTTTAAGTTTGACCAAGTTTATAGAAAATATAGTAAAATTTTCAAAAAAAAATATATTATGGATATATATGGAACGTTATATCTAACAAAACAATTTTGTGTGATAGATGTTGTTAAATATTTTTATATATTTGGTCAAATCTAAAGAAATTTAATTAAGAAAAAAGTTAAAATGGCTTATAATATGAAATAGAGGGAGTAACTTTTTAAAATTATGATTATTTTGCTATGTAACTATTATCTTTTTTCTAAATTGTTGGTTAAAAATAGATTTATTATTTATAAAAGCATGCATCAGATCATTAATCATTTATATATTTAGGCATGGGACATGCAATCAAGAATCCACGGCCATTCTCGTGAGATAGAAGTGAAGAAATTAATTATTAAGTAATAAAACAAAAATCTTAACTACCATAGAGAAAAAAAAGAAAGGGATGAGGAGAAAGGATTGAGGGGAAGGAGATGAGAACGTACGGTAGTAGTTGAGGAATGATTTTTTTATGAGATAAATCCAATTGGCCCACCAGTTCAAGTTATATATTTTTTCTAATTTATTGGAGTGCCACGTGGTGGCTTAGGAGTGTTTATAAGAGTCTCATGTGGCAACTTAAGAGTGTTTATAGGAAGTTTAATCGACTTTTAGTATATAATAATAGATAGATAGATATATAGATATATTATATGTTGTTAATAAGTATTTAATTTATTTAGATGGCATGCAAACTTGCAAAATGCACAGTCTATACCACAATAACATATTGCTTATATATAGCAAAACATTGGATGTAAAATTGTCAATTTAGTTATAAATAGAGCAATGTTTTAATAGAATATAAATTAGCTATGTACATTTAAATTATGGTCAACTTAACTTGTTTTTAATTTGATAATATAAAATAATTAGGATAAGAAAGAGATGGAGATATAAAAGAATAGGAAGAGGAAGAGACAGGAAGAGCGTACTACTTTCTTATGTTTTTTTCTTTTTCCGGCCCACGGTTATACGAAGCCACACGTAAGTACGGACGTTTTTTTTCATAATTTTTTTTTCTTTTTCTGGCCCACAGTAGAGGAAGGGATTACTTTCTTAAATAATAATAGATCTAATCCAATGGTCTAAAATATCGGATCCACCAATTTAAGTGAAAATCGACGGTGAGATTATATAGTGCCATGTGGCGGTCTAGGAGTGTTTGTAGGAGTGACACGTGGCGGATTGAGAGCGTTTGTAGGAAGTTTAATGGACTTTTAGTATATAACTAGCAAGGAAACCCGTGCCGATGCATGGGTAATTTATTTGTTGTTTATAAAAAAGAATATAAAAAATCGTATCTCACCATATTCAACTGTAATAACTATAAATTACATTATAATCATAAAAGAAAGAAATACTTACACCATGAAATAAACCATAAAATTTTATATACTAAATGACAATGTCTATTATATTCAAACAAATTCACTTTATCCTGGTTATACGTAAACTCGTCTATCACCATCTTTCACAAACATACGAGTTAATATGAGTTTTGTTTTTTTCTTTTACTATACATCTAAGTCACCTGCGCATGTTCATGGGTAATATACGAAGGAATAATCCATTGTCAAAATTATTTGTGCTAATTTTGTTAACACTTTTTATATGAGAATGGCATAATTACATAAGGATATAATATGTTTCCATGTGACATTTTTTTATTCTAAGTATGTATATTTTCTTTTTGTGAATAGTAGTATGTGTATTCATAGGATGGTGTGCACACATTTATATGAGCGCTTACGATTGCCTTTTACATGGTTAGTAAAAAAAATACTTTCAAAAAGTTTGGTGGGATGGCATGAAGCGGTGCCACAGCGACACGACTTCTTCGAGAAGATTGCCATGAGTGTCATTACATATATCATATATGCACAATTTGAGAAAAAAACTTTAGTGCCTCAAATTAAAGAAAAAAAAACTATCAGATAGAGCAGATCGTATATGAACTCTTCTTTTTTATTCTTTTTTACATATCTTGTGTACATACGTACATACGAAGGGATTAAATGGTTTTTAGTTGGAATAGATCTAATGTAATGGTTGAAAATAATGGAGCTACGTGTATATCAATGGCCAAATATTTTGTTTTCTTATAATTTTTCTTATTTTTTTTCTAATTTATTAGAGTTGTCACGTGGCATCTTAAGAGTGCTTGTAGGAGTGTAGAAATGTTATTACTCACACTGGCAACCTACTCACTGTCAACTATTGTTTGTTGTGGTTTAGTGGCATACTCTTCTTACCTATCATTTGTTGAAGTTGCCCACTTAGTATAGTCCTATCTTCAGTGCTTGATGACACATGTGCTTATTGGATATCAGCTAATTATTAGGTGCACTGTGCACGAATGCCTCGTAAGCAATATTCCCACTAATACAGAACTTATATACTTATGATTAGTGGGAATATACGATTGTATTAGACTATTTTGTATTTATAAAGTATATTATATACTACATATTAAGGGTTTTAATATGTATGCAATAAGTTGTAAAGTACTTATCGGATTGGCTACTCTCTTATTTATTATGAGCACGTTTCCTCGATTGTTCTAGGAATTTTTATAAAAGAAATTAATACCTTTTGATAACAATATCTAAGTCCATCTAAACCATTATATTCCTTATAAATAAATTGATAATCATGGACTACATTGTATATATTTAAGTGAAACGTGTGTATTATTAGAAATATATTCTATATAAAAGCTAAATCTATTTTTGGCTTCATAATATTTAATATTTAATTAATCTTGCACTAATGACATGTGTCGTTTCGTGTGTCCAAGATAAGCTCAGCTATTGAGCTAGATCAAAGTCTAATTAAGTTGGAGATAGAAGACATCGACATGGTGTCAAAAGAATATATAAGATCTTTAATTTTTCAAATATTATAGAATAGAGAAAACATATAATACCTGAAAATACGTTCATGATAATTTAGTAATATCATTTTGACATATTATTATATTTTACCTAGGGAGTGGAAAATTTTTTAGAATTGTTAGTCACAATTAGAGTTGTTTTTATTTTAGAAATGAAAGCCTAATTTAGCTATCATATAATCTATTTTTTATTTTATTTATATTTTTCATGGATGTTTCCATGAAATGCGCCTAATTAGAAACTCTAAATAACATATATTTTGCATAGTAAATATAGACAGTTTGGTTTTCCATAATAAGTGAGATAGAAAAAAAAGAATGATGTGGGCCCAACGTCGTACGTACGTATCAAAATATGGACGTACTTTTTGTTTTTTTTGGAATACCTATATGTGCACGTACAATAAGAGTTTTTAGATAAATTTAATTGTATTTTTATAATAGATTTAATGGTTAGAACTAACGGGTCCATCGGATTCTAAAATTTATTAGAGCGCCACGTGGCGACTTAGGAGTGTTTTTAGGGGTGCTATGTGGCGTTTTAGGAGCGTTTATAGGAAATTTAATAGACTTTTAGTATATAATAGATAGATAGATAGATAGATAGATAGATAGATAGATATAACAATAAAAGAAAATTAACGCTGCACCAACCACCGCTAAGCAAGATCAGAGAGCGCTAAGCCTAGACATGAACCCACCACTGAACGACCCACGCCAACACCACCAATCACAGCTAAAACTTATCCGTCGAACAAAGCGAGAAGGGTTGCAGAGGGAGATAGCTCGAGCCTCGAGAGAAGCAAAAACCTATCCCTCGATCGAACAAACCCGCTGCCATCCAATGATCTAAAAGCGTATCATCCCGCGCCAGAGGGAGCGCGAGGCGCCTGAGCAGATGCATGCTTCTGCGGATCGTGACGGCGGATGGCATCGGCGTCGACGCGGCGTCCCTTGTGAGATGCGTGCAGGATGCGATCGTTAGTTCGCTACTCATCCGGAGGCGTCATGCGTGGAGGAAGAAGAGACCTCGCGCCTCTCTGCTTGCAATGCGTGGTGGAGTAGAGAGAGGAGAAGCCCAAGAGTCTGGCTGGCCCCTGGGCCACCCCAAACACACACATGGGCTGATTTGTTTGAGCGCATTCGGCCCAGGCAAGCCACAGCCCATTGGAGAGGGCCCCCGGCGCCGTCTCTGTAACCTTGCTCGCCATCCGGTTGCTGCAAGCCTGCAATGATGAACAGATACAGTGTAAGTGGTTCATCGCAAAACAAGCGCTTCTGAGCTTCTATAGGAGCAGCAAGGGTAGGGTAATGGACTAATGGAGAATCAACTGACCATGCAAATGGTGCCTAATCTCTGGAGGATTTTCCTTCTCGGCTCTGTCAAGATATAACGACAGATGGCGGCTGCATTACTCGTCCGATGGAACACCAATTTGTCTTGGAAACCACCTGGAAAAAACAATGCATTGGACTGTAATAACTGTTCTGCAGAATCTCCAGGTTGAACTCACGGAAACAATTTGATTTGAGGAAGCAAATGCAAAAGCAAGTCCCAAATTAATTTAACGTTATTTTGAGGAGTTATATTATGTCGTCAGACATTTGCCGTACTACATGGCTGAAAAAGGCTCGCCAGGGTGAATCTAGTACAAAAGGAACCATTCATTTGTAAATGTTACATTAATGCTCAACAAAACAAGATAATTGTATCGCTATCGCAAGTGCATTATTGAAAGTAGGAGTACGAAACACACATAAAAATGTATTCCCGAAAAATAAAACACATATAAAATGAGCACCATCAGCATCAAAACACAATATCTAACCACGAGGGTTATTTCATTAACCATCTAAGAAAAAGTAGACATCCCTTTTATATGATAAATTATTTTGACTTTTTTCATAGTTAAACTTTTTAAATTTGATAAAACTTATTAAAAAAAAGCAATGTCTAAAACATCAAATCGGTTTCGCTAAATCTTACTTTTTTTTGCGGGGTCGCTAAATCTTACTTTGAATATATGTTGATGATATGTTTGTTTTGTGTTGAAAATGATACTATGTTTTTCTATAAATTTGATCAAACTAAAAGAAGTTTGACTAAGAAAAAGTCAAAACGACTTATAATATGAAAATGAGGGAGTACATTTAATCTTTCAATTCGCTGCCTTGTATTCCCTGACATATACCAACTATATTGACACTATTATATACTTTGGGTGGGTGTGCGGTGCCACTTGGGCAGTTGGGAGGGGGGGGGGGGGCAATCAATCAAGTCCTCAGGACAGAAAATTGTGATTACACCGAAGATAAAGTGAAATACTTGGAAGAAATTGAAAGTACCTTCGGTTTAAAGGATCTGATCAAGATAAAGAGTTTATCTTGGGCTTGCTGACAGTTCGGCTTAGGAGTTGAGATCCCACTGGTAATGCAAATCATGTATCCACATGGCTCTGACAACAGGGGAGAAGCAAATTTACATTGTGCCCAGTGGACCATACTGGGTCAATGTGCCTCTGCCCCTGAGACATCTTGCTCTCACCTTTCTGTTTCAAGAAAAAAAAGTGTAATAGCAGAGGAAGTAGTAAACTACCATAATTGTACAACTAATGTAACATTGGTTAGATAACAGATAAAGGAACTCTATGGACTATAGGGGCTGAAAGCCACAGTGGTTGCTAGCTAGTACCTACTGCCTAGTGCAGAAAAAATCACAAAAATTGAGGGTAATAAGTTGGTTTTCGATGAACTAACCTCACGATATAAGTCACTGATGTATCATGTACTTTTAAATGTGGGTTTGATGCTTCTAATTTTTTGACTTGATCCATTAGATTGATGCTGCATGCCTCCATACTTAGATCTTGCAGTGAAGCGGGGAAGCCCTCCTTTGGCAACATTCTTTTTGAGGACATCGAGAGATGTCTAGTCCATAGAGAGAAGAAAAGCGATGCAACCCTTTAGGGAGGGACTTTAGGCGAGAACACCCATAGAATTCTAGGTATTGGAGGGAGGCAAGGAGCTGAAGTACCTGCTCCTGCTTTTCTGTGAAGCTTTCTGTAATCAAGTCAGACGTGAATCTCAACTCGATGAGGGTCGCAGCGAGGAGGCTACAAATGGTTTCAACAAACACTGCTGAGATACTGTCCACATCAAGTCGTACCAGCTGTTGGAAGGAGCCACCTGCAGGCATAACTTTGGTCCTTGCCACCTCTGAGAACATATCCGTTGCTATGGAGCAGCGATGATTATTATTGCCGTAAAAATTCTCTATTTATAAGAGTATTGGCTGTATGTGATGAAAGGATTGAACCCATCCACGGTTAAGTTAACACAGTGCTTTAGTGTTAAACTGGTGAGGGATGTGAGGTTTGAGAGTGGAGCCATCGATTGCATGCTTGACTCTCCCACAATACTGAGTTCCTTGAGGGAAGTAGGGAAGGGCTTCCTGGTCTGAGCTCCTGCCTCTACCATGGACCACTGAGAAAACATGTTGCCACATCCATCGATCTCGAGTGTTTCGAGTGAGGAGAGATGTTGGAGACAGCCTCCATCCACATCCTCCACTGGAAGAACCAGATTCCTGTGATTTGAGATTGAGGCAACGTGCAATGAGCTGGGCGATAGGAATCGCAGTACTACTTCCTCTTCCTCTTCAGATTCAGGAAACATGCTCAAGAAGAAATGGGTAAGAGCTGGGAAACAATTTAATAACTTACCCAATGATTTTTCGGTAAGATGACAATCTCTGAGATTGAGTTGCTGAACTGAACAAAAGATAAAACCATTGTCTACTTCACTGGATAACATGCTTTTGCATCCTGTGACATCAAGGCTTGTTAATGAATTCAGCTTTTGGAGATCAGTCAATGAAATGTGGAACATGTTTTCAATTGTCATATCTTTTACTTTGTCCAGGTTATGGAAAGCCAAAGCACCCCCATAACCATCTATTCTCAGTGTCTCTTCTTCAAAATGCAGCTTTGCTTGATTATCTTCTTTCACAGTAACACGTGTTAGCATGGTATTGTGAGGCATGGGTGGCAATGACAACTTGGAGCAATTTCGAATCTCAAGAGAACACAGGTTTGGGAACCATACTGTGTTTATGTCTTGTGTGCAAATGACAGAGCACTTAGAGAATGGCAACAGTAGCACCGAGAAATTGGGACAATCTTCACATCTGATGCTTGCAAGCTTTGAAAACAAATGCCAATGAGCTCCCCCAACCCACTCCACAAGTTCTGGCATGCCAACAAATTTAATTTTCTTCAAGTGTAAAAAACTCTTTTGGGTAACACCACCAAAATCAGGTCCAAACTTACGTATGCCAGCAATATTGATCAAAGTAAGTTCCTCCAGATGCATTAGTTGCCCGAAAGGTGGGAAAGTTCCCCAAGATAAGCCTTCTAGATGGAGAGATTTCAAGCCTTTGACACAAACATCACCACACAACCAAGTAGGTCCAGTGGAACCACCATGGTTTCGTATGTCAAGTGCTCTAAGATTAGGATGTGGTTGCAGACCATCAAGAACGCCAGATCCTATGGAGAGTTGCTTTGCACTCCAAACTAGTGTCAATGCTTTCAGATTCCTTTTCGATATCAATTTAGCATCATTTGCTTCTTCTCTTGTTGCCACATTTTCAAGGTTAAATATCTTTAGCTCTCCTCCAAGCTCTGTCAAATTCCCCAACTCACTCAGTTCAAATCCAATGTCCTCTTTCTTAACATGGTACTCTTCCAGCCACTGTAAATACTTCATCTTTCCAATCCCAGGAATATTGGAACATAGCTCCATTTTAGAAATTAAATGGCGCAAATTGACTAGGCAAGAAATGTCTTGTGGCAAAATACACTTACTATACCCTAGGTCCAAGAATTTTAAGTGATAAAATCTGCACATTGCACTTGGTAAAGAAAATTCCGAGTCATATGGTAATTCAAGTTTTAAGTAGCGAAGGTGGAGTAATTTTGAGAAGTTGTATGGGAATGATTCAAGGGAGTTTGCAAACATATATAGAACACGAATGCACTTTGTTTCTTTGAATATATTTTTGAAAAATATAGTCATATCTTTATTGTATTCTCCAAAATACATCAAAGTCCGTATATTTCCTATATCTATTTTTCTCTTGAATTTTTCCATTTCACCCTCAAAATCATTGTCATATTTATCTTGTAAGGTGATGGATATATGGCGAACAGATTGTGGGACATTATTTGACCTAAAGCTATATGACCGTATACTGACACACTCATGTGAGGAAACATTTTGTGCTAACTCATGTAATAAATCGTGCATGATATAATATTGCCTCTTATCATCACTAACCTTCACTAAAAAGCCATTACCTACTAGTTCGTCCAGATAACTTAATCCTATATCCTCAGCTTTATTATGATCACTAGAATTTATGATGCCTATTGCTTCCCAGAAAAAAGTAATTTCTAAATTATTAAACTGGTAGTTCTCAGGGTAAAGGGAACAGTATGAAAAACACTTTTTTAGATAGAAAGGAAGGTAATCATAGCTAATTTTTAGTGCAGGCATCATCCCATCGCCATTTTGCATATTTTTCTACTCATTCCTTTCAAGAACTTCTATCCAACATTCCTGGAAAGGTTCTTTTTCAATAGCCGGCCAACTGTTTTCGCTGCTAGTGGGAAACCCTTCAATTTCATAGAAATTTCTTTTGCAATATCAATTAAGTCGTCAACATAAATCTCAGGTTTGCAATCAGCAAATATACATGCTTCAAAGAATGCGAAGAACTCATTGTGTTCTAGACCTTGCAGTTCTATCAGATTAGTTGTCTTCACCATTTGTGCTATATATGGAAACCGGGTTGTGACAAGAACCACGCTGCCTCTGGCCTCCCCCTTTGTGAATGGTGATAGTAGGCATTTCCACTCATCTTCACTGCTGCATTTCCAAATATCATCCAAGACGAGTAAAAATCTTTTGGATTTCAGTCTTTGTGCAATACATTTTTGGAGCTGGTCCAAGTTGGATGATTCATGTATTCGACTGCTTGAGCGTTGCTCCCATCCAGCAACTTGTACCGGTAGGTACTGGTACTGGGAGGTACAGAGATAAATCCATCCGTCCATGTTAGAAGGGTACGATTGGAAAACAGAGAAAGTAGTCGCGCCCCCTCTTCTCCTCTTCGCTCTTTCTCGTTTCCTCCCTCCGTGCGGCGCCGCTTTCTCACCTAATCTCTTTTCTTTCCTCCCCTCGGCGAGCGCAGCCCCGCCCGTGCGAAGCCCGCCTGAGCCGCGCGCAGGCTCGCCCCAAATCTGCCCGCCCCGCATCCACGCCCCCGCCTGTGCGCTCGCTTGCTCGCCCCGCATTTGCCGCCCGCGGCGGGGGAACCAGCGCTCCTTCACCAGCGGCTTCATTCACGCCCCCACCGCTGCCGATTTCTTATCTCATCCAGTGCCCATCCATCTGCGCAAGGAGCGACGGTGCCGTGGGTATTTTTTGCCCCTATCCCCCTGGACAGCTCAAGCAGCATATGCCCCCTACCGGTTTAGGGTTTCCTCTCAGGTATGTGATTTTCTTGTGGTATAATTTTTTTTTGGTTGGAACCAAGAGATAGGTAGCAGTTTGTTTGTTGATTTTAGATGATTTCTGAGTATTATGTGTTTTCTTTTTACAGAACTTGTATGGGTGATGAAATGGGAGACAATTTTATAAGCTTAGAAGAACAAGAGGAGTACAGAACAATGACTGCCATGAGATTTAAGACAGAGAAAGAAGGTTTCCTCTTCTATAACAGGTATGCCAAAGAAAAAGGGTTTAGTGTAAGGAAGAATTACATTAGACGTGATCCTATTACTGCTGCGGTAACCCATAGGCAGTACCAATGCTCTAGAGAAGGACATAGGAAAGAAGTGTATATGGAAGCGGCTAACAGAAGTAGAGAACCAAAAGCTCTTACTAGATGTGGTTGCAATGCACTTTTTGAGATTAAACTTGACAAGAAGAAAGGTGATTGGTTTGTTGTGAAGTATGTAGCAAAGCATAATCATCCGTTGGCTAAATCAGATGAAGTAGCTTTCTTACGGTCACATCGCACAATTAGCAATGCTCAAAAGGCTAATATTTTGGAATTGAAAGAAGTGGGTTTGCGTCAGCATCAAGTTATGGATGTCATGGAGAGGCATCATAGTGGTTTTGATGCTACAGGTTTTGTTAGTAGGGACCTGTACAATTATTTTACTAGGCTAAGGAAGAAACATATTTTAGGTGGTGATGCAGAGCGTGTTATAAAGTATTTTCAATGGAGGCAAAAACATGACATGGAGTTCTTTTTTGAGTATGAGACGGATGAAGCTGGTCGTTTGAAACGGTTATTTTGGTCAGACCCTCAATCCCGTATCGATTATGATGCATTTGGGGATGTTGTAGTTTTTGATAGCACATACCGGGTGAATAGGTATAACTTACCTTTTATCCTATTCGTTGGTGTGAACCACCATGGTTCCACTGTTATTTTTGGATGTGCTATCGTAGCTGATGAGAAGGTTGCAACTTATGAATGGATTCTTAAGCAGTTTCTAGATTGCATGTATCAGAAGCATCCTAGAGGATTGATCACAGATGGGGACAATGCCATGCATAGAGCAATAGCAGCTGTGATGCCGGATTCTGAGCATCGGTTGTGCACTTGGCACATTGAGCAGAACATGGCAAGACATCTTCGTCCTGATATGCTTTCAGATTTTCGAGCACTTGTCCACGCACCATATGATCATGAAGAGTTTGAGAGAAAGTGGGTCGAGTTTAAGGTGAAGCATAAAGGTTGTGAAGACAACCAATGGCTTGCGAGGATGTACAATTTGAGGAAGAAATGGGCTACTGCGTACACTAAAGGTTTGTTTTTTCTTGGGATGAAAAGCAACCAACGTAGTGAAAGTCTGAATTCTAAACTTCATAGGTATTTGGATCGTAAAATGAGCCTTGTCCTTTTGGTAGAGTATTATGAGCATTGCTTATCACGTATGAGGTATAGGGAGGCTGATCTAGATTGTAAAGCTTCACAATCAATCCCTTTCACTTCTAATGATGCTAGTCTTACTGAGAAAGATGCTGCCCGTATATTTGCACCTGCAGTTTTTAAGAAGTTGAAGTTGGTTATTGCTAAGTCGATGGATTGGGAGGTGATAGATTGTGTAGAAGAGGACAACTTGGTTAAGTATGTTATTTCCATGAAAGGTGATTCTGAGATGCTACAAATCTTGAATTGTACATATATGGAATCAACAATGAAGAGCATAAATTGCACATGCAGAAAAATGGATCGTGAATGCCTCCCATGTGAGCATATGGTTGCAATTATGCATCATTTGAAGCTCGATGCCATTCCTGAAGCATGCATAGTGCGTAGGTGGACAATTAAAGCGAAACACATGTTTCCTTCTGATAGGTATGGCGAAGTATATACATGGTCAGACCAGATGGAGAGATATCGCAGGCTGCGTAGCATGGGCACAGAAGTGTTTTTCAAGTGTTCGGTGTCTAAGGAAACTACTTTAATGGTGATGGAGATGCTAGAAAAATTAGACTTAGAAACTGATGAATGTGAGACAAACAACTCAGATTTGACTTTATGTGGTCATGTGCTAGCTCAAAGTTCACGTACAGACATTGAGAGTCATGATAAGGTCCATGATCCTATGGAAATTGTGCCTAAAGGAGCTCCAACAAAAAAGACTACGAGGATTCATGGAGAAGCGTGTTAGGCGTTGTGGTTATTGTCGTGGCCATGGGCACACTGTTCGAACCTGTCCAATTTTCCTAAGGTGAAATATAATATGATTATTTTGAATATGTCAATTTATGTAAACTCTCTCTATATATTACTAATTTGATCTGTGATTTTATTTTCAGCAAAGTAGAAGAAGATGTATGAGAAGTATGAAGTGTTTCTTTGCACTGGTGGAAGTTGAATCTGGAGTTTGAAGTGTTTCTTTGCACTGGTGGAAGTTGAATCTGCCTTGTTTGGGAAGTTGTATTGTTGGACAGAGGATTATATTGTGTGGTCTAGTTTTTTTTAATGAACAATTCAATCTGTCATGGTTCTTGTAATGAATTTGTGTGAAAAGCACAAGCTTTTGCTGGAGAACAAAGCATGTATATCATTGAATGGAGCTTTTGTCTTAATTACTGTCAGCTGTGAACAGAGCATACATTGTTTATTGTTTGTCTACTAGCACCATTGTGCTGTTTTTACTCGAACTCCTGTGAAATACATGCCATTCTGTGGAGTGATCAAAAGAGAGCACTCATTCCAGTTTTCCAGTAATACTTATTCCAGTAATACATGTCATTTCAGTAGCACAACAAGGCTAAGTACACCTTAAAAATGTACAAAATGATTCAGTACACCTAAGTTTTACAGTTTTGTAGTACACTTCTTTCAGTATCTCATTCCAGTTTTGCAACAACCATCCTTCCATTACTCATCAACCAAAATGAACAATGCACATCTGAAAATTTTGGACGGCAATAAAGGGCCTGATATTCGTTTATTACACAGTATCTCATTCCAGTTTTCCAGTTTTGCAGCAACCATCCATCCAATACTTATCAACCAAAATGAACAATGCACAGCTAATCAATTTAGAGGGCAATCAAGGGCCTGATATTCGTTTATTACAAATGAGATGACAAACTAAAAAGTCTGTTACCTTAACATAGCTAACTGACATGTAGAAAATCAACAACGGCAAGCATAGTACATATTATCAAATAACTTCATGAGAAGGAACACAGCTACAACTACTGTTCCTACGAACCAATTTCTAATGTCATCAGTCTCTTTTTTCTGCTTGGACAACTTCTTCTTGAATGAAAATTCCATGTCTGAAAGCCGGTCAGCCATTTCCATACAACATAATATTATCAGTATCTAAATTTTGTTCTTTATTCTTTCACAGGTCATAGATGCATACATTATGTTGATTAAAGACATGCAATGTGAAAGTCCAAGAGAGAATGGTACTGCATTTCTAGAAAGTACAGCACATTGCCAGGCCTGGAAAACAAATGGTGAACAAATTGGAACCCGCAACAAGCAATATCAAGACAAGAGAGCAAAAGTTACAGCAAAATATTTGCAACATGATATGGTATATTATGTCCTCAAATATCCTTCATAATAATAACTGCATGACTTACATTTCATTTTCTATGTAGATTTTCCTACCACTCAATAGAAACTCAACTCATTGGTACGTGGCTGTTCTCAATGGTGCTAAAGAAAAAATTCAAATACTAGACTCGATGCGCATGGACAAGAGCTACTACGACAAAGATAAAGACCTCAATAATACAGTATGCTACATTGTGCCTTTAGATTCATCACTATTCCTTACTAACTTGTTACATTAGATATGTAATACTCTATTTGATAACTCAGATAAAAGGAATTGAAAAGTTTATCCAGTATGCAAGGCTAGAAGATGAAGTTGAAAACAAATGGAAGAACACCAAGATTACCAATTGGCCATTCTGCCCAATGAAAGTCCCTCAGCAAAGTGACAGGTCAAACAAACAGTTAATTTTTGTCGCAAATTATCTATAACGAATTACCACTAACAAAGGACATGCTTGCAACAGCTGGTCATGTGGCTTGCACACATTGAAATTCATACAGCATTGGAATGGAAAAGAACTCTCCCCTGAGTTCAATGAAATGGTAATTTTAAATTGCAATCAGTACTCTTTGTAAATAAAATGACATTACTTGATATTTTTTTCATAACTTGCTTTTCAGGATACAACCACCACTTTCAAACATAAGGTTGCAGCCAACCTCATTAATTCTACTATGAACGAAGTGATTGAAGTGCAGCAAGATATTAAACGCCTAGTGACCGAGGCAAATGAAGGCAACTAGCTCTAGGCTAAGATTCAGATAGACATCATTGTAACTACTTGCAATGTTTCTCCTGTTTAGAGAACATCACAGAATTTTTATGCATATGCTATTCTCCTGTTTATCCAAGTTAAGGGAATTCGATGGCATTTCTTATCTAGCAAAAGTCAGTAAGATTTTCACAAAATTTGAATCTTCTGTGCGTGATTATGTGATGTTGCAATTTACAGAGGTAACAGAGGATGTCTCTGATAAGCATTAGGTATTTATTTCGCATAAAAGGTGTTCGATGAAATACCCATGACAGAATTTCTATCTAAAGTGTGTGTATAGGATGTGGATAAGGTGGTTTCATCTTTTATTTTCATTGTCAGAAATGATATGTCGACCTCCAGATTCTACATGTCTTGTGTTATATCTTTTGGATTTGAAAAACTAGATTCAGAGAAGAATTTATTAGGCTGGCTACCACCTGTGATAGCCTGATAGGTTAGTTTCTGTTCCCTGAATAAACCA